GGGGGGGGTCTTGCCAGGACTTCGATTTCAGGTGGGTCGTACTTCTGCGACCACGTCTTCGACATGATTTTCAAACTGCTACGGGCAACGCTAAATAAAAGGTCTATTGTGTAATGCGCCCTGTGCTAGAATCCCTTCAGCTTATGTGTTCATTTGACTGTCTATCGATCCCCGAGGATCCGCTGTTCCCGTTGACTAAAGATTTCCCTGGCCACTCATCCCAGAATTTGTTGAGAACCGTTCAGTAGCGTTTTCATAACTACGTTCAGAGAATCTTTCGATAAATTTTGAAGGCGGATCCTAAGTCAGTCGTCAGAAACATGTTCCATGGTATGTGTCTTATACAGATAACCACCTCAGTTTCCTTCCCTAATTGGCGAGGAGTGAGAGTGAGCGTACGAGTTGCTCGCTATAATGAAGCTGTTGCTGTTTGCTGCATGTGAAGCAAAACAGCTACAATGCTTGATCGCTGGAAATCTGCATTCTTCCTAACCACTATTTTATCAATCGCGTCTCGAAGTTGTAAAATATGTATTGTCAATTGTTCAAGAACTTCTAATTATAAGAACAACATCTTTACCTTAGTTCAGGTGAAGTAATAGATACAACTTTTAAGGACGTTCTTGCTCTCGATCCATTTATTTGGTGTGCTAAGGAGAGAGACCTTTTATGGGCCAGCGCTAGTCCTAATACGACCTCAGATTTCGAACGACAGGCTGCTGGTGGTGCGTTTGCTGGAGAACGTGGCTTTTACATTTTAACGGAAAAGTGCTTTCAGCCGACGAGCCTCTTCTCGATGACAAGGACGAAGATTTATTGAAGCGTCGTATGATACCGATAGCGTCGGTATGCACTTCTGTGTAGAAACATGAGAGATTACGATTATTACCTGCCCCATCGGAGCGGTATTATTAGAGCAGCGGTTGTGTTGGAACTCAATACGCCTTTTTAGAATGCCAGAATTCCGTTGAAGAAGGAGACTGACTACAATAAACCACTCCTCTTTCGTTCACAGCAGCTGTTCCCCTTCGAGTTGCCTGTTATTATCACCAACGTGGACGATATCAGTGATAGTATGCCGCGCTTGCCTAAAAAAATCGGCAAAATGGAGCTCTATTCGGGTAGGTTTGAAATATTTGATGGTCCAGTGATTGTTCGAACGAGATCGCCAAGAGGCGGGAAATCCTACTTACTATAAAGCGCTTCGTCTGTCGTCTGTCTGTCGTGTCTGTCGTTCTGTATGTCTGTCACGAAATTCCCTAGCTCCTCGGGATCCGCCTGGAGGGACCGGGTCAAGTGTGGGATGGGTGGGCAAGGTCTCACGAAGTACAAAACACACATCAGCTAAGCGGAGCCCCGCCCACAGTGGGCGTGGCGTGCGTCGAAATGAACTGTACTGAAGACCAAGATTTCATTTCAGTGACAAAACAGCCTCGAAACTGGGCCAAAAAGTGGGTAAAGGTGTGCATTGGTAAGTCACATCGAATTAGGGAGACCCACCCCCGGTGGGCGGGGCGTTCTCCAAAAAAGCAGTGCTTTATGAAAAATTTCATAACTCGGTTGGGAGAAAGCCTACAGCAGAAAACAATTTGGTGTAAGGGAGCAATGTCTAAGGTGTTTCCTGCATACATGACGTGGGCGGAGGCCCGCCCAGAATGGGCGGGGCGCGCTCTGAAGTGTACAGCATTTTCTACAAGTCCTCATAATTCGGGCCGGGGAAGTCTTAAAGAGCCGGAAAAAGGTGGATAGAGGTGGGTGGAGGAGTGGAGGCCAGCTGTCATCGGTGGGGCTTGACCAAAGTGGGCGGAGTTTGCGACGAAAATTCATAACTCGGCTCCAAGAAGTCCCGGAGGCTGGGAAAAAGGGAGTAGAGGTCGGCGAAGGAAAGGAGGTCAAATGCTATTAGTGGGCGGAGCACGCACCTAAGTGGGCGGAGTTTGCCAAAAGTGTCGTAATTTGGTTCCAAGAGGTCCCAGAGACCGGTGAAAAAAGGGGTAGAGGTCGGCGAAAGGAAGGGGCCAAATGCTATTGGTGGGCGGGGCACGCACCGAAGTAGGCGGAGTTTGCCACGAGATTTATTGTCCGGAAGCAGTCCGGAGACCGAGAAAAAGAGGATAATGGTTGACGAAGAAAAAGAGGTTGAAAGCCGTCGATGATGGAGCGGATAGAATTTAGCTGAGAATTCAGATATTCGTGGTGTATCAAGCCAAATTTGAAAATTTTCGTCGCACCATCAAAATTCGCCGCAGATCTGTGTTGTGCGCGCAATGCGTGCGGCGCCAACTGGTCTCAGAATACGTTCGCACAACTCGTACACGTCTTGCCCAATTTTTCTCTCGATTTCTTGATTTCTTCCTTATTTTACCAAATGACAAGTTACAGATGCCAAAATTAACACGTCCGTTACATATAAGCTAACGCGTATAAGACATCCAACAGAAAACTTGAAGCTGTACGTATATGAGGTGCGGAATATACGGATGCATCTCAAACGGATTATGAAGGCGCTTTTCTATTGTCGGTTGGTCAAAAGGCAATAGTGGCAGTTGAGTAATTGTTGTGCGAGCTGCGACAAGCTATTTTCAGATCTTCGGAACAGCGATTCCAGAGAGATTTGGCTGAGCCATTGGAAATCTTTGGGTTTGTTCACAAAAGGAATGCGGTATGTGTCCTCGTAGGAGCTACTATTCGCGGAATAGAGCAGTTAATATTATCCAGCTATCGGTTCTCTTGCATAAAATGTGTCATATTTCGTACTTCCACAACCTGTACGGTTGACAAGACCGATAAGAGCTTCCGGACCACTCTGTTTCGGCAGGTGACACTCCCAAAACAGAGCGGTCCGGAAGCTCAGGATCGATCTAGTCAACCCCAAATTCTTGGCTTTTGACTCAGCAGGCCGTAGCACTTTGGGTAAGGCACAGGAAGGCGCCGGTAAACGGAGGAGCTTTTCTCTGTGAAACATCTTATTCGAAGGTATTAGGTGACCTGAGCACAAATAACATTCATTTATGAAAGAGGGACCATTTGACACTACTTTGTTGCCACAACTTACTTGGAAGGTTCACTTGCAGTTCTGTTTCCATATGGCTCCCCCACTTCCTTCACACTTTGGGACGCGGCCGCGGCGAGCGCGGACGAGTCGATAGTGCCCGCGAACTGTGGTGGTGATGCGTTTTCAAATTTACCCACACAGTTCGCGGGCACTATCGACTCGGCTGCGCTCGCCGCGGCCGCGGGGCGGCGGGCTTTTGGCCCATCCGGGCTGTCACGCGGCAAATCGCGCGGCAACCGGGACGAGGCAATCTTCGCGGGCTTTTGCAGTCATCGCCTCAAAGCGTGTGCAGATCGCGGATAAAATCCGCAAGGGTCTGCGAATTGCATTATACTCCAACGCATGGAGACATAAGGACAGTGGTGATGGTAAGGAATTTTCAGTTTCAGTTTTCCAGAAGGAGATGGGAAGGAACTAGCATAGTTACAGCAATCAGGGCGCTCATATCGTCTTTGGGAGAGGGGGAGGGGGTACATTAAGGTGAGTCAGCCAATTACTCCACCCAAAAGAAGAGGGACTAAGCCTTAGGAGCTGGGGAAGCATGTGGGCAACTTGTGGTTTTTCCGACCTATCTCCCCTCTCGTGGGCTTAGTCTCAAATCACCTACCCTCGGCCTTGTTTCGAATGTTTTTCCTAGGGACATAAGCGCCTTGATCAGCAAAGCATACATAGTTGACAATAGGTAACTTTATCCCAGCGAAAACCCCTAATTTTAGCGTTACTCGCTTTGGTGATAAAGGATAAAGGATAAAGCATTTGCCGTTGATCAATCCCTTTTTGGGATGCGGCACGCATTCTACTTCCATTTGTACATTCGTAGTGGCGTTTGAATGCGATGTGGCCTATACAATGACTTGCGGGGGCCAGCCGATGTACAAGTCAGTGTTTTTATCCTCCCAGACAAGTCTGGTACCAATTAACCGACCCCGGAGGGATGGAAGGCTTGGTTGGCCCGGGCGACTCACGACCCAGGATTTGATCCCCGGACCGCTCGCGTGGTAAGCGTGCCACTTGTCCACTACACTTCCGCCCGCTTTGGTGGTAGTAGTATTCTGCTGACATCACCGCTGCATTCAAATCTCCGCACGCGGAAAATTATTTCAAGTCGTAGAATCATGCAGAGTTTATCCGCAATTGCACACGATTTGTGTTGAATTCTGTTGCAAGAACCTGCGAAGCCTCGTCTCTCACGAGTCGCCGCGCAGTTCGCCGCGTGCACCCCGGACGAGCCAAAAGTCCCGCACCTGCGGCCGCGCCCCAACCTTTGCAAGAAAGTGGGGAGCCTTCCATATTTGTGGCTGCTACTCTTGACCCTATCAATTTGCAAAGGTGTCCATCCAAACGTTCATAGATTTGAATACGTTTCCTGACAAGTATTGCTGTGTGCAAAGCTTCCAAACACCTGAAATTTCAGATTTTACTCAGTACTCGATACAAAGAACTCTATTCATTGCTACATTTGATCTTTGTTGTAATCATTCAACTGAAGAAGCCAGTTCCACTCAAGGAATTGTTCCGCATTCACACACGTACGTATCATCTTATTCTTAACCCTTTGGCGACAATGCTATGACCGTCGCGTGGGACAATGGCACCCAATGGTGGGTGCCACCCTAAAATTTTCTTCTTTACCCATTTAAAACATTTTCAACATATCAGTAATTATAAGCAAGCTCCGTTACGCCTATGTTTAGCATATTTTGCAGAAATGTTTGTTACTAGCTAATTTATATGAAATTTTAGGATATGGCACTTCGCTCGGCGATGTATTAACTAGTGTTTTACATTATTAAGCTTAAGGTGAATTACAGATCAGGACCTCTACGTCTTTTCACAGTCTTAAGACACAAGGAAAAAATTCTACTGTACATTTGAATTTCTAGAGTTTTCAAACACCATCCCTTTGAAATCCGAGATTTCTTTCCAAACTTCCACTTCTAATTCCAACAATACATGATCATAAAGCTTAAGACTGCAGTCATATTTTGTTTATTGTCATAGTCAAAATTTTGATAGAAAAACTGCTTTTAGGGACAATTTTGCCCCATTTTGTGCGAGAGTTGGGCGCGCCAAAAAGAGGCGTGGTCCCACGAGCACGCTACGTGCAAATCCGCATTGTCGTCAAAGGGTTAATAATGTTTCTCTCTTCTGTGTAGTCACACCCGATAACCCACTTTAAAAGCTACCATTTTGCAGAGAACTGCAATGGCGCCCCACTCGATCGATTTGAGATGCTTTATGCTTTACGATTTATTCTTGAATGGGCTAACAGCACTTCTTGCATTCCGCCCGACATAGAGAATGTTAGTGAATGTCATAGCTTTTCGATCTCCATCTGTACTCATTTTAGCGTATCCTGAATAGCTTCAACAATGTCGTGTTAACTTGTGTCATTGCTTTGCAAACAATGTAGTGATGGGCTCTTTAAAAAGGATAGATGTTCGAGATTATCTGTCAATCGCAGCCAATTGCCCATTTACGGGAGTTCCGTGAACAATACTTCTCAGACAGGCTCCTTAACTCTTTTTAAAGTTTCTAGTGTCTTAAATACGTCTTCCTCTTCTCGAAATGGACGCGTATATGGTACCAGTTGGCGCCGCACGCGTTGCGCGCACAGCACAGTTCTGCGGCGATATAGGATGGTGCGGCGTGAATTTTCGAATTTGGCCCAATACACTTCGAATATTTGACTTTCAAGCTGAATTCTATCCGATTGCCCCATGCTTCATCCACCGATGGCTTTTGACCTTCCCTCCTTCCTCCACCAATTGTCCGTAATCGTCAACCAATTGTCCGTTTTTCCCGGCCTCGGACTGCCTCCGGACCGATTTATGAACCTCGTAGTAAACTCCGCCCATTTCTCTCA